CTGAGCCACGTTGGCGGGGCACAGTTAGTTAATTTTTTTGGAAAAAAAAAAAAAAAAAATTTGTTTTGAGACAGCAAAACTAAAGACACACAGCTGATAAGTGCTGCAGCTGGGATTTGAACTCAGGCAGCCTTGTGGCAGCGTCCAAATTGTCACCACCCTAAATGTCCTCTCTGCAACAATGAGCGGAATAGGCCCTGCTGCCTGGGGTTGTTGGGAGATCGTGAATATAAACCACTTATCACAGTACCAGGCATGTAATAAACATTCCATAATTAATAGCAATTTTTTTCAAGGGTAAAATGTCCCCTTTGGTGAGTTGTATAATGCCCTCTGACTCTGACACAGGAATGACCCTCCCGGCACAGAGGTGTGTACTGGATGCATTCAGAGCCAATGGAGATAAGAAGATTCTGATCGCCACCTCGGTTGCTGATGAAGGCATTGACATTGCTCAGTGCAATCTGGTCATCCTGTACGAGTATGTGGGCAATGTCATCAAAATGATCCAAACCAGAGGTGAGAGAAGCTTTGATGCCATTATTAAATGTCTGCCAGTCTGACTGATTTGTGAGTGTATCTGTCATTCTGGCCTTTCTCCTTTACTGAGTCCTACGTGTGTGTGTGACCAACGGCACAGTGGACTCTGGTTTCACTGCCCTAAAGGTGGCTTATTAGGCCAGGATTAGGTGGCTATGGCTTTGTCCACTATTGTAATTCTTGTTCACAATGAAAACTGTGTACTTGACCAACATTGACTGACATATTTTTGGAAGGATAATTCCCATTGGAGGGAGGCTTTGGCAGTCAAAATGTGCACCTTTCCTGGAAGTGCTTGTGCTGCTGGGCCCCTGTACCAAGGAGCTCTTCTTTCTTACTTGAACCAGAGTCTCCTAACTAGTCTCTCTTCCTTTTTTCAGTTTCTGTAACAACAGCTGCCACATTATTTTTCCTGGAAAACAGCTCTGAGCATGTCACTTCCCTGTATAGAAATTTCAGTGGTTCCCCAATTTTCTTGATGTTACAGAGTTTTCCAGTCCAGCACCCACTTATCATTCCTCCCCTTCATTCATGATTCACTTTGGCCAACCTGAATTTGTCCTGTTTTCCTTGTTGTAGAATTGCTCCTATACTGCTCCTGCTGATCGTTGGACCTCTCCCCCACCTCCCTGTCACCCGTCCCAAATCCCCCAGCTGCCAGTCCTCTCTCTCGGATATCCGTAACTCTTTATGTCTGTCTTTCAGCACTTCTCATTTTCCACCTCTGTTCTGGTGGTTTTGAACATAGCTTATTTCCCCATTTCTAGAAAGCTCCTGAGGGAAGATCTGTTATTGTTCACCTTAGAGCCCTCACAGTGTCATCCTGAGGGTTCATGTTGGACTGTCTGTAAAGCGGAGTTTCTGATAATGTGGCTGTTTGATCACACTGCAGCATGGAGACTCTGAGGGAGCCAGTGTGAGGTGGGCTCCCAGTTTACCTACATGTCTAATGTGCAGGTGCAACCTCACTGCAGTGTGTGCTCTGATGGCCCGGCTGCCCGAGAAAGTGGGATTCAGTGAACCAGAGTTGAATTTTAGGAATACCCCTTTCTCTTTGCTTACCTATTCTCAGATTTATTAGTTTTAAGTCAAATACACCATACGCCTAATGAAGTATTTTTTTTCTGACAGGCAGAGGAAGAGCAAGAGGTAGCAAGTGCTTCCTTCTGACTAGTAATGCTGATGTAATTGAAAAAGAAAAAATAAACATGTACAAAGAAAAAATGATGAATGAGTCCATTTTAAACCTCCAGGCATGGGATGAAGCAGTATTTAAAAGAAAGGTAAGTCTTTTTATCTGTTCTACTCATTCAGAATCTGACCATAAGTAACAGAGAACGTGACATGGTTGGTACCTTTTATCAGATGGCTGAGTATTGCATTAGAACAATAAATTTAAGCTTAAAAATGTGTCCTGCAGTGAACATCAAATTCGTTCTGCTTTTAAGTCTCAAAGAGATTAAAATATATTTTATTAATGCTAATACCTAAAGTTGTGTTTTTAGATCTAAAAGGCAAACTGAACTAGAAATGTTCTTGAGTTGACAGCTTATCTTGAGGACAACACCCTAACACTGCAAGACGTAGTTCTCCTTGGTCTTTTCCTCAGATCTCTGTCTTTCCAACATTTGCAGTCCTCAGAGAAAAGCTCTTATTGCACTGTACAGGTGTTGGCATTCCTAATTGTAGGTATGGGTAATAATGTATAATTTGTAGTGGCACGCCTGTTCAGTTCAGCCTCTTGGTAGTAACCTTCATTTAATTGTTAATTTCCTTTATACTCAGAAGCATGGAACCAGATGAGGGAAAATCAAGACACACACACACACACACACACGTGCACATGCATGCACACACATACTTTCTCCAGACTGCAGAGATTTTCATATTAGAATCTCTGGAAGCACTGAACACTGCAGGGCCGGAGGAGAGCTTTAACACTAGAATCAGTGGTTCCAATTCCAGTTCTGCCACTTACAAGATGTGTGACCTCAGGTTACTACTCTGTCTTTTGAATCATCAGTTTCCTCATTTGTAAAGTTGGGGAAATAATGGTATTATACTCACAGGGCAGTTCTGGGGCTAAAATGAGATGTATGCATTGCTTAGCACAGTGCCTGGTATAAAATAAGCACTCAGAAAATGAGTCATTATTGGACACAGAGGTGAGGCATACTTTAACTTCATAAAGATGAACCTTATGATTCAGTAGACCAGCTCCACAGTGTCCACGATTTTAAAAGGTCATAATCTCTATGCTCAAAAAGTACTGAGAAACAGTGATGTAAAGCAAATTAACACTAAAAAATACAACTTTACTCATTTTAAGAAATGTTTTTTAACAACACATAAAGGGATTTCAGCCCAAGAAACATAATTCTTTTTAGTTTTAAGAATATACGGTTACCCTTCCCTTCTACTCTTTTCTAAAAATCAATAGAAAAAATATCCTCCAAACTTCAGGAAGAAATACAACTTTTGTAGCCAGTACAACAGGTCAAGAAGTGGAGTGAGGAGAAAACGGGTTATATATCTGTTGATTTAGACTATTGGATAGCATTCGGGATTCCCCTAACACCCATAGATAGAAATGGGCAGAGGTGGTAAAGAATGTAGCTGGGAGTCATTATGTGGCAGCTAGGAGCTTGGAGTCTTGGCATCATCCTTGTCCTATGGTAGATGACCAGCTGCTCTGTCGAAAGAGGAAGGCTTTCCTTTAGAGGTGTGAGGATTTGGGAGTATTTCATCACGGGGAAATAAGATATAAAGGGTATTTCTTACAGTTCTAGTTTGAAATCACTTTCCTTCCTCATGGAGTAGAGAGTAAGATGTGGGGTGAAAGGAAGTTCATTTTGATGAAAGAACTTCCAACATGATGTGTACCCATGACAGCACACAATTAGGATTTCATAGTTTTGCTTTTTTTTACCTTGGTGCACGGAATTAGGCTGCTTCTTCAACCACAGGTGGAGGAGAGGCAGTGAGCTAGAGATTTAATTTGTGACATTAGTTGAGCCTGTTTACCCAGTTATTGAGTTAGTTTTAAGTATAGCAGTAATAGTTTTAACTTACTGGGATTTATTGCCTATAGTAACATTTAAAATATTTGGGATTATTAGTATTTAACTGAATTCCCTTAGGTTTGCTTCATCTCAGACTGCCTTGATTTCCCCTTTATTTTTTAATTTTTATTTAATTTTAATTTTTTTGCTTTGTTAATCCTCACCCGAGGATATTTTTTCTATTGATTTTTAGAGTGGAAGGGAGGGAGGGAATTGGGGTGGGGGGAGAGAGAGAGAGATTGATTGATTGATTGATTTCTGGTTGCCTTCTGCATGCACCCTGATCTGGGCTGGGGATCGAACCTGCAACCCAGGTATGTGCCATTGACTGGGACTTGAACCCATGACTCTTCGATGTGTGGACCAATGCTCTAACCACTGGGACACACCGGCTGGTGCTTCCCCTTTATATTTGAAGAATATATTGCTGAGTATAGAAGTCCAGGTTGACAATTTTTTTTCAGCATTTGAAAAATATTGTCTCACTTCCTTCTGCCCTTCATGGTCTCTGATGAGAAATCTGCCGTCACTCAGATTGTTTTTTCCTGTATAAGTAAGGTAACATTTTTTTCCGGCTACTTTTAGTATTTTTTTCTATGTCTTTAGTCTTTGGAAGTTTAATTATAATGTGTTTTGGTGTGGATTTCTTTGGGTTTATCCTGTTTGGTATTTGTTCAACTTTTTGAATCTGTAAGTTTATATTATATGTTCAATTTGGGAAGTGTGTAGCCATTATTTCTTCCAGTACTTTTTAAGCTCTGCTCTCTTTCTCCTCTCCTTTCAGGACTCCAGTGACAAGTTAGATGTGTTTTGATAGTCCTAAAGTTCCCTGAGGCTGTGTTCATTTCCCCCCCCCCTTTATATTCTTTCTATTGTTCCAAATTGAGTAATTTCTATTATTTTATGTTCCAGTTCACTGATTCTTTTCTGTCCCCTCCATTTTACTGTTGAGCCCATCTGCTGAGATTTTTATTTTGGTTATTACATCTTTTAATTCTAAATTTCCATTTGGTTATTCTTTATAACTTCCATTTCTTTTTTGAGCCTTTATAATTGTTCGTTTCAAGAGTGTTTATGAATACTCATTGAAGCATTTTTATCATGGCAGCTTTAGACTCTCTGATAATTATAACATCTCTGTCTTCTCAGTGGTAGCATCCATTGATTGTCTTCTTTTCATTCCGTTTGAGATCTTTCTGGTTTTTGGTATGAAGAGTGATTTTTTATTGAAACCTGGACATTTTCATATTATATTATGAGACTTGGAATCTTACTTAACCTTCTGTGTTAGCTGGCTTTTTCTGACACCTTTCTGGCAGAGGAGGTGGGGACATTGTCTTATCACTGATAGGTGAATGTAGAAGTTTAGGCTCCTCACTCATCTGTTGATACCAACGAGGGGGAGGCTCCTTGTTGCTGCTGGGTGGAGGTGAGAGCTCTGGCTCCCCACATGGTCTCCACTGACACCATAGGCAAGGATTAAGCAGGGATGGAAGTCCTGGTTTCCTTCTTAGCCTTCTCTGACACCACCAGGTGGGAGTATTGGGGCACTTCATTACAGCCGTGTGGAAGTCTTGGTTCCACCCTCAGCCCTTGCTGGCATGGGTGGAGGTTGGGTCACAGTTTTTTTGTTTTGTTTTGTTTTACTCAGTGGTGTTTGGCTGGAGTAGAATAGTTATTGGCTAAAAGTTTTCTGTCTTTCTAAGCTGCCCCTTTCCTGGCCCTTTGGCTGGAGAGAGTAGGTTTTTGTTGGGACTTATTTTACCTGTGCCCATAGGCATTTTTGGTTGCTAGCTTCTTCAGCTCCAATCTGGGATATATGAGGTAAAAAGAAAACCCAGGGAACTTACTGCCATGGTGTTCCTAGGGTCCTGAGGTTCCTAGCTGGTCTGCCTTTTTCTTTTCACCCTTTAGAATTTTCTTATGTTTGTTTTAAATAAACATAAGTAGTGCTTAGCCGAGGCCTAAATTTTGAAATAGAATACAGTCATAGTATACATACATTTAACTTTACTGTAATTTGACAGTACTCTCTGTGGTTGGAAAAGGAGAGAGAAAAAGAGATTTTAGATGGTGGGACCTCTTCTGCCTGCTGTTCCATTCAATGGGTTTATGCCCTGGAAGTGGATGTAATTATGTATGAAACAGACCATGCATATCATTTATCTATTTGTGAAGGGCATTTTAAGTTTTGCCAGCTGCTAAAGTAGAAAGCATGGTTCACGTGACTTTTTTATGGACATCTTTAGTGCTTTTATGGGCAACTTTGATGAGGAAATTAAAAGACTAATTGGAGGCCACAGTTAAACATTGACTAACAAAGAGTTAGGAGAACCAATAAAATTATCTAGGGGATTTTTACAAAGCTGCCAGGTACCACATGTTCATGGAAGTGTATATGAATACAGAATGAATGATATACATATATGTATATATATATATATACACATATATGTATCCTAGTTATACTTAAATTACATTTATGAGGTGTTTCTTTTTTACCATGCAGATTCACCAGATCCAGATTCATGAAAAATTCATCAGGGACAGTCAAGGAAAAGTAGAACCTGTACTTGATAAGAAAAATAAGAAACTGCTCTGTGGAAAGTGCAAAACCTTTGCTTGTTTCACATCTGATATAAGAGTGATAGAGGTAAGCAGCCTTTTCTACTGGCTCATTTTTTAGCACTAATTAAAGCTTACTAACTATTGGTGAGATGTTTATAATAAGGACACTATTATTTCCTTAAAACCCATGTCATGGTTCCATGTATTTTACAAAAGCTAAAAAGTTAAAAAAGCAACCCTTAATTTTAACAAATCATTTTAAAAACTGCTGCACAGCCACATAAATATTATGTGGCCATTAAAAATAATGGTTATGCTAAATGCAATGTGGTTTCCTGGATTAGGTCTTAGAACAGAAAAAGTTTTGCTAGGAAAACAGGTAAAATCTGTAGTTTAGTTAATAGTAATGTGCTGATATTAACTTCTTAGTTTGGACAAGTGTACTATGGTACGTAAGATGTTAGCATTCAGGAAAGGTGGGTGAAGGATATATAGGAATTCTCTGGACTACATTTGTAATTTATCTGTAAATCTAAAATTATTCCAAAGTGAGGTTTATTAAACAAAATGACTATGAAGCTTATATAGTATTGTGAAAAACTCCTCATAAACTAGTGGTAAAGTGGAAAAAATAACCAGGATACAAAATTATAAACATGCTATGATTATAGCTGTGTGAGATAATAGCAGCAACACCACTATCACCATCAACAACAGTAAAAGAAAAAACTGCAGGAAAAAAACTACAGGAAATATGCTAACATGTATTAATATTTTGCAGTGAGACTCCATGATTTTTTTTTCTCTTTGTACTATTTTATGTTTTCCAAACTTTCTTTTTGGGATACGGATCACTTTTATAAACAAAATATCTCCTTGTTTTTAAAACACGGTTTCTGTAGGTTATATATATATACAGAAATTGGATGTAACTCAACTGCTGCCAATGGAGGGTTGGGTGGAGTCCCCAGGCTGGTTCAGATGATGAGTGATAACTTTAGGGTTCTGTTTGTTCTTCAGAAAGCCGAACTCTCTAATCCAACTGTTTGAGCAGGAAGCATATTAGGGGTGATACTGGCAAGTTCCCAGACCGTTCTGAGCCTGCTTCTTTAGATGTAAAAGATCCTTTGAGCTGGATGATTTTTCTATTGAAAATGGCCCTTTTAGATCGTACGTTTTCCTGAGAGCCTGGTATGTTGGATCTGCATTTGTTGTGTGCGGTGTGGCTTTTTTCAGGTTTGCGCCAAAGTTGGCTGTGGGCGGGGCCTGTGGACACATTAGTCCCTCACCCTGTTCAGATCCACACTGACCCTCTGTTGTTTTTCTGTGTCTTTTGGATCATGCCTGTCAGGCCACTGGTGACCTCAGGCTTCCAGATCTGCAATAAATACCCTTTTTGTTTCTGAATTAATAAAGAATATTTACTTAAAGAAGCTAGGTTGCCTGGAAACTTGTTAGTTTTCCTATCAGCTCACTTGCCCCTCCACCCCAGCCCTTACTTCCACCCATGTAATTTGATTGGGAGTCAGGCTGCATGGATTCTGTGTTGGCTTAGGTGAATCCATATTTCCTTCTTTCCCTATCTGTAAAGTAAGTGGGAACCTGCCTGCTCTTCATCCCAGACTATTGTGGAGTTTTTTGGTTTTTTTAAATCACAATTGTGAACTGGTTCTAACATTGTTTTGTATGTTCGATCCCTTCATCTATAGGAATGCCATTACACTGTGGTTGGAGACACTTTCAAGAAGTCCTTTGTGACTAAATTACACCCCAAACCAAAACATGTGGGGATTTTTGAGAAGAAAGCAAAGGTATTCTGTGCCAGACAGAACTGCAGTCATGACTGGGGAATCCATGTGAAGTATAAGACATTTGAGATCCCAATTATAAAGATTGAAAGTTTTGTGGTGGAGGATATTGCAACTGGAGAACAGAGACTGTATGCAAAGTGGAGGGACTTTCATTTTGAGAAGCAACCATTTGATGCTGTAGAAATGGCCAAGTGACCTCAGGACCCCATTCTGCAGCTACAGGGAGTGGGTGGTCTAGAGTGAGGAGGAGATCATCCCCAGTGTGTAAATCATGACTCGCTCGTACCACTGTTAAGATACTTACCTAAGGCTTGTACTGTACTGAATGTTTATCACTCAATTCACCTTCTGTTCATAGTTAACAGCTTGTATTACACCATGTATGTAAAGCACGCTCGAGGGAATCAGAACGCTGAATGCTTCATAGGCCACTAGAGCTCTAAGGACTTGAGAAGGTGTTGAAGCCTCAACTTGTCTTTCTCTCCTTCCCTTCTGAGCTAACTGCCAGTGTGTGCCCAGTAGGCACTCAGCACACTTTAGAATGAATGAATGAATGAATGAATGAATGAATGAATGAATGTCGAAAGGTTTTCCATACTTCCCTTTCTTTCCTTAACCTACTGTAAACCAGCTTTTGCTTTTAACAATCTACTGAAATTGTCCTTGTCAAGGTCACCAGCGACTGGCTGCCAACTCCATCGGGCACTTCTTACCCCTCTCTGAGCTCGTTGCTGCTTTGGGCCCTGTCCAGCACTCTTTTCTTGGATCTTGTTCTTGTCTTCTATCTCTTCTAGCTCTATCCCAGTCTTTTCTATTGGTTCCTCTTTGCTGGTCCCTTAAATGTTCATAATTCCCAGGGTTCAGCATATATACATGCACATCTATGAAATGGTTACATATACTCGTGTTCTCTATGTAGCAATGTATGGCTTATAATCTTAAAATTCTGTAGTAGAGCCCTGGCTAGTGTGGCTCAGTTGATTGAGAGTCTCATGTACTGAGAGATCCCCAGTTCGAGTCCCAGTCAAGGTACATGCCTGGGTTTCCAGCTCAATCCCCAGTGTGGGGTGTGCGGGAGGCAGCCAACTGGAGTTTCTCTCTCTCTCTCTCCCTCTCCCTTCATCTTTCTCTCAAATCAATAAAAAAATATTAAAAAAAAATTTCTATAGTGGACAACTTTTAGTAATGAGCATGTAAGTGGTACAGTACTTCTTGAGAAGCTGATTTCTGTTCTTTTAGTTTATTGTACACCTTGCCCTATTATTTTCATGTTCTGTGCCATTGTTCCCTTTGAATGGCCATCCCAAGCCATTTCCCAGTAATAGCTGATGGTCAGCACTTGGGCTCTGTGCTGTTATCTCCCTTGGATGACACTGATGAGGCAGTTAATTTGCTGTCCTTTCTATTTAAAAAATCAGAGTGCATATCCAAATGTCACTCCTCTGTTATTGAATAAGGTTCGCTGGTTTTCCCGAGTTTAGTTTGGGGTTTTTCAGACATGAAGACAATGGCCTGAGTTTTGCTGTTTGTATCCAGGCCAAGGTATTTTGTGTTAATTCAGGGTAGGCTTTATAGTAATTTAAGCAACTTTCTAAAACAGATTCAGATTAGTTGTTTGTAATCCAGGTTGGTGGTCCAAAAGTCACCTCATTAACATAACAAGAGACATCTTTGTCCCTCCCATCACCTAGGGCATTCCAAGAACTTTAGAAGCTCTGCCTGAAATGGGAGATGATTACCAAATATATATATTATTATAATCACAATCTCACAAATATCTCTTTTTATATGGAATTGCCTTTTTTGGATGCTGTTCAAGAACTCCAATAGGATACATAAAACATCTACTGGAAGTCTATTTGAAAAAAGTTCTTTTAAGGTTCTAAAACGTCCATTTTAGATGAAGGTGAGTAGGCTCTCTTCCCTTCAGCCAACAGAAGACAGACTAAAGCTGAAGCAAGAGGAATTTTCCTTGTTTGATTTTATCATGGAGTCAAGCCATTGCCAGGTATAGAGCCTGGAACAGAGAAGGCACTTGGTTAATATTCATTGAATAAAAGAAACCGGTAAGTAGGATTTTAAAAAATGAAAACTTTTTTTCCATAAAATATTTGTATTGATTTTTAGAGAGAAAGGGGGAGAGAGAGAGAGACATCGATATGAGAGCAAAACATCGATCAGCTGCCTCCTGTATGCCCCATCTGGGGATCGAGCCTACAACCTGGGCCTGTGCCCTGACTGGGACTCGAACTGGCAACCCGTCCGTGCACTGGATGATGCCCAACCAACTGAGCCACACTGGCCAGGCAAGAAATGAAAACTGTTGGCTGATGTCCCAGTGCTGGTCATTGGATTTCTGGATGAGGCTGCATTTCAGAGCGAACTGGGGAGTCTTTTTCATGGGCACGTGCCCAGCCCCCATTAGAACATCCTGGCAGGGTGTCCAGCCACATGTATTTTATGAAATTCCTCAGGTATGTAAATGAAAGTCCACAGGACTCTTGAGGAATTAGGAGAGTTTTATTCTGATATGATTTGCAAATCAGGGGACACAGCCTACATCATGAACCAAAGACATAAATATATAATCCTTATTCATGATAATTTGGCTATCCGAGTGAATAAAAACAACTTGGGTATTAAATTCTGTTTGTGGTCATGACATTTAATAACTTTCTAAGAAAGCAGCCAGTGGAACCTTAGTTACTGTTTTCAAGAAGTAACTACACTGCTCCTACGTAGCCCTGCAGGGTAACCACACTGTCCTAATGTAACCCTGGAAGGGAAACTGTGCCAAAATAATGTTCTTTATTTAAGTGACTAGGAAACTCCCAATATTTGTAGACTAGGAAATAGTGGAAGATAAAGTTCTAAGGTCACAAGTTATTAACTGTTACCCCATCCTACTGGTGGCCATATCCCCTGGCACATGGAGCAGCCCAGAAGAATGATGCCATTGCAAATGGAAGGTAAGATGAGAGGGGAAATGATAAGGAGGTAGCCTGAGTTTGAGTCATTCGATCCAATCAAGCCTGTGGCCATGGCCACCCCTGTTTTTCAACTGTTTTATGAACCAATTATTGTTATTTATTATTATTATTTCTGTTAAGCCAGTTTGAGTTGTGCTTCTAACACCATAACTAAGAGAAGCATGACTAATATATTCTCCCCCTAGATTGCTCTCCACCTACATGAAGGTCGCCCCATAGCCAAAGATTCATGTGCTCATTTGCTGCATTAAATATGCTTGTCAGTTAACTTGCTGTGCACGCCCAAGAATGCTTGTTTCCCTAGGAGGGATCAGGCAGAGATCATGTTGGTTCCTGAACACTTGCATTTTACCTGCATAGCACTGATGTACTTGGTTGTAAAAACAGGAGAACTTGGGGGTGGGG